TGTGTTGTATTTTTAATACACGCCTTTATAGTGTTTGTGAGCTAAAGCATAATTATACGATTGCTTAATGCCACAAAGAGTTCCGTTGAAGAATACTGTAATGAAATTAAAATATATGTTAACGATTTCAAATTAATTTTTGCAAGTTAATTAAAAAGAATTCATAACGTGATGTCGGTAAGGAATCGAACCAGAGACCTTCAGATCGATAGTCCGACATCTATACCAATACACCACACCTCACTGACCAGTGAAGTAAGCAAATACATGTATATCGATTATTTTATATTTATCCATTGAATATGGTTCAATATCAGTCAAATATATTTCATATTTGTTAGAAATAAATACGAAATATTAATATCAATGTGGGCCCAGTCAAAAATCATAATTATTTTAAAGAACTTCATATGCAATTTTGTTTGAAAATTTTGATAAATAAAAAAATCAACTTGAGTTGGATTTTGTTTTGAAAACTATCTAGAATATTAGCCTAACTGTTATATATAATGGTCTAACTAAGAAAATAAATCCGAACACCAATATCTTGAATTCAGTCATTAACGCTGTTGTTTACGGGACGTCATTGTAACGCAAAACAGCGCGTGCAAAGCAGTCAAGACAAGACCGCTATTTTAATACCGCAATCCAATGAAATTTCACATTTATTTCACCATAAATTTTCTGTATATAATCTGAAATAAAATAAACACACAAACATTGTATTTATAGATCTATTGAACCGCGTCGCGCATCTATAAATTAAGAAATAATATATTTTATCGCTCAATAACATCACTGTTTTCAGTTCGGACGCGACGAATTATATCACGAGGGCGTAGCCCGAGTGATATAATGATGCGCACCCGAACACAAACAGTGATGTTATCAAGCGATAAATCACCGATTTGGATAAATTATTTCGTTTCTAACGCGACATCAACAAATAAATGCTGCCGTACCTAATATGTATTAGTGATAGAATATATACGAGGACTTTAACGGCTGGTATCAGCGCATGGGGCGACAACAAGGGTCATCATAGGAAATTAATCGAGACGGAACGTCGAGATTAATTTCCATGATTGACCCTTTTGTCTCCCCATACGCTGATACCAGCCGGTGAAGTCCGACTGTTTATTCTGTAACTGTTTTATCGCATGACCATCACGAGAGATTTACGCTCTCTCGTAATATTTGCTTTATTTAAACATATTTTAGAAATATACATAGAAATACACCAATTAAAGTAATAGTGAACTCCTGGAAAAATGAAAGATTAACGTTGTTTGCGCTAAACCTTGCAGTTTTCCTTATTCAGGGCAAAATTTTTGTCTTTTGCTCTGCAGAACAAATATGGACAATTTGGATACTACGCTAAATAGTAAAAATGTTACACAGGTTGATTTGTTCCTTTTGCAGACATTAAGTGAAATTAAGCGTTGTGGTATTTAATGAGATAGGTGAACTAATAGGTAGTCAAATGGATAATATTGTCAATGATGTACAATCGGACTATTTCGGCAACTTCCAATTGTTCGACTTTGACTAGATTTTTATAAGGAAGAAAAACCTTTAACTGATGAAAAGAGTGAACATTTTGGAGAAAGCTTGTCATACCGACTTAAATCTAAACTTGCTAGATCAGAGAACACGGACCGTTACATGAAATGGGCTTACAATATATTTGAGGCGCGCCTGCCTGGAATACCAGTGTTGAAAGAACTGGACATAAATAACCATTTGATGTGGTAAGTAAATGCTTTTTTTCTTAATGCGAAAGATTAATCACCTTTCCAGCTCTTTTTCCAAAATATAATCTAGGAGATATTGTTCAATATCCCGGTGTATATTTCAGAGATATTTCTTGTACGCGTATTTTTATAACTTAACGACAATGTAGTGATTTTTACTTAACAATAATAATTACGCTAGAATATTATGTTCACACGTGTAGTGACAGTGATTGGCTTACTGGTCAGAATCTCCTTTTAAACGAAGGCATTGGTTAAAGCAAAAAATAAATGAATAATTTGATCATTTTTTCAGATTTGTCGTCCAGGTCAGGATACAGAATGGCGATTACTTTCCACTGGAATGAACATCTTTATAATATCTGCATTTCCAAGTTTTGAAGAAGAAAATATGATCGAGATGATATGTAAATATTTTCTGAAAAAGTTTTGTTAACTGTGTAATGTTTTGTTTTGCTCTTTTTCAGGTAGATCTATGCTTATTTTATAATTTGAAACAAAATAATTAACTGGGCATGCGCGAGAAAGTGTACTGATACCTCATTTAGAACACCCCAAAGCGTATGATACCTCATTTAGAGCACCCCAAATTTTCTTATACTGATATTTAGAGAACGCCGATCTTCAAAGAAAAGTTGTGGCGGTCATGCGATAATAAGCAAAATTGCGCATGATTTGTTTCCGTGCTTGTTTTCAGCGCGTCGGATTCTTTTAGCAGTTACGTCACGTGTATAATGATTACGTCACATATCTAAATATAGAACGTCAACTGTTACTTTATTGCATAATAACACACACTTTTGGTTCTTCTATATCAAATAGTGAAAAATGCAGGTCGTTTTAGAATAATCAATATAATACTGCGTGCTGTACAATTGCAGTTACACAGTTGCGTAGCAAGCAAGGTGATTCGTCACCATTTTCCTTTGAAATAATGTTTTCGTTTTTCGATAGATACTGGTCAGTATTATTTCAAATGACCTTTACGAAAGTAAATGAAGAGCCAGGTCAATATTTCTGGACAATATAGAGATCGATTCAATGTATCACGCATATGTGTTGTTGAAATAAAACATGTTCCCGACAAGTATAATGAATTGTCTTTTCTCTAATTAAAAGTTTATATTTATTAGTACTTTAAAAATTTAATAACTGTAAACTATTTTGTTCTTTTCATGTAATAAATTCGATATTTAAAGGCACATTATGTCTCAAAATGTCCTACTTTTTCAATTCTTCGGAAATGTCTAACATGCGTTTTATAATGTTTTAACAAATGTATTTGAAGCATATTCGGAGTTAAACAAAAATGTTGCGCTGACTGTAAACAAAGTAGTAATTTGACTCCCATACAAAACACTAATTCACTTTGCTTATAGCCATTGATAACAGAGCAAAAGAAGTAAAAGGTAATTCATCTACGCGGAGAACGAGTATTGTTTTGAAACTGTAACAAAAGGGCCCAGAGGGCCCTGGATCGCTCGGCTAAGAAATAGGCCAAATAGGTCAAAGTGGAGCCCTTTTTCACCGAAAAAGCACAATTTGATAACAAGGGACAGCTTAATCTGACGATTTTTGTACACCCTCACCAAGGAAATTTTTGTGTAAAATTATTTCAAATATGAACCAGTGGTTTAGATGTTGTTTGGATGTTTTTGTTTTTTATTTTAGCTCTGACAGTCATTTCATTAAACAGTTCAGCCTGTCACTAAGTGCTTGTAAAGAGATGACAGAAAAGAGAAGAAAAACAAACATTTGACCTTGCTAGAGATTGAACTGTCGACCTCGATCCCCTTGGGTAGTGCCAATTTTAACCCTAAAGGGTTTATTTGAACAAACATGGTAGACATCCACTAGAAGATGTTTTATGTTCTATTTTTTCCACTAGTTATAAGTTCTACTATATACATATGAGTAAAATCAACAACCCACTATGGCGGGGTCAATTTTGCCCCTAGGAATTTTATTTGAACAACCATGGTACACATCTACTATATCATGTTTCATGCCAAATAACTAAGCTCTAGCCCTTATAATTTTTTTTAAAGAAGGTTTTTAAAGATTTTGTCGTAAAATAAATTCGTGGTTGCCATGACAACCGGAATTCTTTATGTAATTGAATTCTTTGAACAACTTTGGTGTACTTTATTTAAGGAACATCCCTGCAAAGTTTCAACAAACTTGCCAAAGTAGTAGGAGTAGAAGTTGTTTAAAGAAATTGTTGAAGCAAGCACGCACGGACGATGGACGACGAACAATGGGCCATCACAAAAGCTCGCATTGAGGACACTGTCCTCAGGCCCCATGTTCACAAAGATTTAAGGATCAGGATCAAGATCAGGATCAAGTTTAAAAACTCCAATATTCTTCATTGTTTATCCTTATAGATTAAATGTCTTATATTAATTTGATAAAAATTGACTTGCAATAGCAAGTTTATGAACTTTAAGAATAATTTATTGCTATTTTTGCAAGATATGGGTTTTTGTAGTTGATCCAAATATTGATCCTGATCCTAAAATTGATCCTTATTTTGATCCGAATATTTTTGCATTTGTTTTGTTATTTGTTGATTTTATCCCAAAATAGTTTTGTTTCTTTGCAAATCAGTAACTTTTTACATTTTGAATATTTACCATTTAATTCTAGCAAAACACAATTAATTTTAAGTAACATAAAAAAGTGAAAATAAAATCAGGATCACTTGATCCTGGTCCTGATATTTTCTTAGTGAACACGGGGCCAGGTGTTGTAAAAATAAAAAAAAGAGAAATGGTTATGATAGCATTTCTGAGACATAATGAAGTCTTCTGTCTTGATATAACTATTTTCTCTAGATATGCTATCTTAATAGTCTCAAATCGCAATAATGTAAGCTTCTCATTAACCCTTGACACTGCAGTTTGCTTTCATGTCTCTTTTCTTGCTTTATGTTAAAACGAAAACTTTTATTTTGTATTCAAGCACGTTATAATCTTATAAAGATTAAATGCATGTTATTCGAGATAAATTTAGTCATTTTTCGTTTATTTAAACAAAATGTACACAAAAGCTGTACATGTAACTAGTCATACACAAATATCAGAAAATGCAATAATTGCCTCACAACATACAACAAGTGGAAGTACACCATACTTATCCAAAATATGTTACAGATTATAATTAATTCTCAGTAAAAACATTCACAACCTTGGAATCAAATCAACTTAAACAATTATGCCATTGATAAAATATACTAAACAATAATTGTTGAAAACTCTACTAACGGTGCATTATCAATCGTTGCATCCTGTTTCTTTTAACATCATCACTGAAATGATAAAATTATATTCATTTTAAGGAAATCAAACATTCCAATAAATTTTATTGAATTAAATGATAGAATGGTTTTTATTGTGTTTTTCTCTCCATATGTTTCTTGTAGGAATATTTTATCCAGACGTTTTAAAGAAAATCCTCCTAATAAATAAGCACAGAGGCCACACCTGTGTTCCTTGCCTCTTCTAACACAGGGAATTGTATTGCTTTCCTGAACTTATTAAAGTGCTCTTCCAATTTCGTAATTGTCTTTTGTATTTTATGATGTTAGTGATTCTTATAATTTATTTCATTTTTTCATCATGTTTAATTATTTCCAAATTATATAATAAATAATAATAATAAATAGTTATAAATTCAAAATATTCTTCTTAAATTATATCTTATTTATATGTATTTTCCACATTATGTGATATTTCTAAAATGATATATAAATTACTAACAATAGTCATTCTTTATAAATAACCTGTTTTGTTACAATAGATGTAGTAAGTTTTCGGTAAGAAAATAAGAAAAATAATTGAAATTTCTGTATATTTACTACTTTTCATACAGTCAATAAGATATAAATAAGGTGTTTTTTTAAACAAAAGAAACATACATGTATATACTGAACAACAGTGTTCAATGCTTATGATTAATGCTTATCTGTTGTGTTCTATTGACTAGTATTACTGTGCAAAAAATATACCCCGATCTCTATTTCTGACTTTAAGTCGTCTTAAATAGACAAAAATACAGCATCAAAAACAGCTTCTTCTTACTTCAATTCTTCAGGTAAACAGACTTTGGCTTTGCCTTTAATGTGTATAAGCAAAACCTTCACAAAAATAGTTACATGCGATTGTCACTCCATAAAACAGACTTGCTTTGATAAAAAAGGTTTTATTTTGTTTGTTTTCTTCTGAAATCGGCATACATACATCATATTGGGCATGAAACAACAACTTCTACACAACAAGTATTACAACTTATTGTATCGGTGAAGCTAACCAAGTCCTGGAGAAATGTACTGTTGTATTGAAAACAACATGAACATATTTCTTTCTCCTGGAATGACTTATTAAATGGCTATGTAGCATTGTTCTATTAAACTTGTATTAAAAATGAGTGTTTGGTTGTATTTAGCACAGTTCTTCAATTTAAACATTTGGTTTGCTATACGTTATTATTTACTGAATGCTTTTTATTTCAAATATCCTAAAACAGCCACAGTAGTGAGCATTGACTTTGAAACGTACATTTTTCTGTTATAATCTACATGTCAACCTAATATAATTATTGTGCGGCAAAACATCGGTTTACGATAACAACGTAGAGGATAGAGTAATGCGCAACCTTATTCTGCAACTGGGAACTTATATGATTTTCGAAAGAATCGACACCTCATAGTCACAATTTGTTGTTTGTAATAAACGAATACTGGTACTTAACCAGGTTTTTCCATGTCAAAACCTTGTACTTGGCCAGGCATATTTCACAATTAATACGATTTACTGATTTGATTAAAAAACTGAACAAGCTTAATACGATCTTCATGAAAATATCCACGAAACAAGCGTATGAACATACAAATGACACGGGTATTGTCCGGTGTCAGGAATAAACGGTATCTACATCTCTCGGTAACTGCATATGTGTAAACAATTATTTTCCTTTACTGCGTTCAATTGAAATTTGATTAATAAAAGTTTACTTTTTGATGTAGCAAAGATCAGTTTTCGAGTCCGATATCCAACTAAAAGCCGCCAAAGTCTTGTTTTGAGCAATGGCTGGTGATAACGGCTCATAAAAAAATATATCTTAAGCACTTGTCATAATGCACAACGATTTTTTCTAACCCAGAGCATACACAGGTTTAAACTTCTATCAATATTTTGCTTTATGAATCACAAATATTTTGCTATTAACTCTGCTTTTCCTATGAACAAAGTAATTCAAAACTTTGAATTTGCAATTTGTCAATATCAAGAACTTGATATATACTGTCACTATAGGCAAATGTTGGAATATATCACTTAAAGAAAGACGCTTTACGTGTTGTTATGTATCATTCTTAATAACCAAAAAGCCAAAGGCTTCGGCGGGATGCGGGGAAAGTTAGCTTTGACTTTCCTCAGATAAAAGGTTACACATATTTAGTATGAAGTTTCAAATTCCATATTCGCTCTGTATGCGTTTAACCGAAATAGAGATTCAATTAACGTTATCTTGTTTAAAATTTGTCTTCAGATTTCTTATGAAATAATATTATGATTTTTTTTTCAATTTTCATTTTTTTTTAGTATTTTTTTTAATGTTTTCTTAGTTTGCATTGAGTCACGCCTTTCCCTTTGCGTGTCTTACATGCCTGGGTCTCATTGACAATACAAGACCTGTGCACGAGCAAGAAAGACGTCATAACGATTTTTTATGTGTTGTAAGAAGTAACCTGTCACAAAAACAATAGAGGTGGTGCGTAAATTCGAAAACCTATAAAATGCACTCTTTCTATAATCAAAATATTTGACTCCACTCAGATTCCAGTTCATTTGAATAACCACTGTCTAACATAAAATAATGATACTTTATAATACACTATTTTCATACTCTGCAAAAATTTATTTTAACGGGCGTGGACGGTCCAGTTATAAAGTAGTTGAATTAAATCGAGTCAGTAACATATAAGTCTAATTTCCTCTTTTGCCTATTTTCAACATATTACATATATTGCTACAAATTTTTTTTCGATCGTATATACAACCAGAACAAATTCTTATTAAAGAAACATTTAAGTAATTTTGTCATAGAAAGAGATAAATGTAAGATTTCTTGAGAAAGGATTGCATTGTGAGAGGTAATTTTACAATTAGATATTTTTACATTTTAAATAAATATGACATCGAAAGTAATGAAAATGATAGTAGTTCGCTTACCTTTCAATCATGTCAAGGAGTTCTCTTTTTTGCCTACGTAGTGCTGGAAAATATACATTCACATAATTATCAAGACTAAAATGAATGTAATAAATTCAAATGTATTACGAACAAATGTAGCGTAAAATTAAAAACGTTTCGAAGTTCAAATTTGATATATCTTATGAATCACCAAAATCAACCACTATATTTTATTCAGACAATTCTAAACAGGACCTGATGTAAGAGGGTTTTAAAAAGAAATAGCAGATCTGCAGTACAGTCGTTTAACCCATGTCAAACAATCTTGTACGTCTCGTTGTGAGAAAAAAAACTTTGTAACAAACAAAGTAAATCATTTTAGATCTAAGTGTTTCATGTATCATTTAGTTATTTACCACATGTTTAAAATCTGTGCGTTTCTATTCTACTTAATTTATTTTAGTCGTTAAATCAATACCATTATCAAAATTATCAAATGGTTCTAGTGTTAATGTTTGACTATATGTGCCACTTTAAAGTACATGTCATAGAAAATTACAAAAAAATTAAAATGAATATAAATTAAGAAATAAAAAGTGGTAAGTCTTGAACAATGCAGTCCTCATAAATGAGAAAATGAGATCTAGCCACCTTTAAGTTTGATATCAGAATAATACTTTTCGAGTTAAACAAAATTAAGCATGAATAATAATAAAAGAAAATTACAAAAACTCTGATAGGCAGAATTATCAATCTTGTGAAAATTTGACGTCCAATATATATTTTTTAGTTAAATTCCAAAGAAAAATAAAGCTAAAAAACAACAACCTCCCCCCAAGAAATATCACTAAATGTGATAAATACCCCCGCAAGACTGCTTCGGAAATGAAAAACAGAGTAACACTAGTAACAGAATACTTTGTAAAAGATTTGAAATAGAGTAATGGTTGCGGGCAATTGAAGATAGTTGTGGTTCTTGTATGTTGCATTTTCTTTAAGTGTGTTTGACCATTGATGGAATTTTATTGAATTTCTCTGTAATAAGTCCAGAAAAAGTTACGCTTCTTAAGCACTGCACTTCCTCTCATTGCACTTGACCATTGTATGAAGTTGCATTGAATTCTAAATATTAGTTTTTAAGTTATGCACCGGACAAGGAAAACGAACAAAGGGCAATAGCTCTACCAATACTGAAGATGGAGTTATAGTTATAGTACACTGCACTTCCTCTATTTGTATGAAGTTGTATTGAATTCCAAATTTTCAAATTATGCACTGGAGATAAAAAGGAACAAAGGGCAATAACTATGTAATTAGTCCAAATAGAGTTATAATTCTTGTGCACTGTATTTATCTGACTACCGTTTACTATTGTATGAACTTTCATCGAATTTCAACCATTAATTTTTAAGTTATGCACTGGACAATAAAAAGTAACAAAGGACAAATCTCTTAAACTCAAGAATGAGTTATGGTCACTGCGCTTTCTTTCAATTTACTTGACCATTGAATGAAATTGTATTGAATTCCAACTTTTTTCAAGTTTTGCTCTAGACAAGAAAACAGAAATGGAAAAGTACTAAGGGCAATAACTCTATAATAACTTTGGACACAGTTATGGTTCTTGTGCACTGTACTTCCTCTTATTGTGCTTGACCATTGCATGAAAATGTTTTGAATTCCAACCAGTACTTTTCAAGTTATCCTCCGTTTAAGGGAAAGTATCAAAGGGCAATAACTCTGTAATTTGTCAAAATGGAGTTATGGTTCAAGTGCACTGCAGTTCTTCTTTATGTGCATGACCATTGTATGAAGTTGAAATGAATTCCAACTAGTAGTTTTCAAGTTATTTTTCGGACAAGGAAAAGTAACAAAGGGCAATACCATAATTAGTCAAGATGGAAATATGGTACTTGTGCAATGCACTTCCTCTCAATTTGCTTGATCATTATATAAAGTTGTATTGAATTCCAACCATTAGTCTTTAAGTAATGTTCCGGACAAAATAAGCAATGAAAAAGTAACAACGGGCAATAACTCTGTAATTTCTTTAGATATAGTTATGGAACTTGTGCACTGCACTTCCCCTTATTGTGCTTGACAATTTTATGAAGTTGTTTTGTTCCAATTAGTAGTTTTTAAATTATGCTCCAGTCAAGGAATAACTTTGTAATTAGTAAAGATTTGTTATGGTTCTTGTGCACTGCACTTCCTCTTAATGTGTTTGACTATTGTATGACGTTGTATTGAATTCCAACCATTAGTCTTCAAGTTATGCTCCGGATAAGGAAAACGCAACGGACCGCTGGGCTGACTGACCGACCGACCGACCGACCGACCACCGGGTGACTCCTATAAACCTCCAAAACTTCGTTTCGGGGGTATAACAAACAAACAGACAAACAAAGTAACAAACCTAACAAAAAAGCACAACAAAACAAAAAGCTTAAGGACAATAACTGAACAATTAAAATTGGTTCCTATACATTGCATATTTCTTCAATGAGATGAAGTCTAAAGTTTTATCTGAAATATCTAAAGTTATGCCCGTACAAAAATTAAAAATAACAAAGTCAAGTTCATAAAACTATGAGGGGTAGAGTTAAAACGTTTATACAAAACTGGCAAAATTTGGCAAAATAAGGCGGGCGCACGGACGGATTATATTAAGAAGCCGTCATTGATTTTGAATACCTTGCAGACCAAGAGAAAGTCTTTAATTGTCTATGGGTATACAGGAACATTTTAGTAAACATCAAAGTGAAATTATCCAAAAAGAGGGCTATTCCTCAAGCATTTTAGTTATGAAACAATAAACATTTCTAATTAAGCATAAATTATATCTATTGGCAATAGCTCAAAATTTTGATGCAGTTATTAACTGCATCCATTCTTGATTTGATCTTGGAATTTTATATAAATATCTCTTAAACTTTAAGACTAAAGGTTGTTACTTGTGCACTGCTGTCCTCCTCAATGAGATCTATCCACAAATAAAGTTTAAAACTGATATTTCAAAACTCTCCGAGTAATGTTTATTACAAACATAAAGTATGAAAAGCAACAAAGGGAAATAACTATTGGGCTAAATCCTGGGTAACATATCTTTTATAAGTTTTAATCACCAATGATGTGGACTGTTAAGCTATGAATCTGATAACTAAAATTTTGACATTTGTGCCCTTTTCTTGACGGATACAAAATGATTACTATGCGTTTCTTTGTGCAGATATTCGTTATTGTATTAAACAATCATATGTGCAGCAAAATACTCAGGTTACTTGGAAATTCTGTATCCACACAATGGTTTATTATGTTTTGAAATTTTATTTTTTTCGGAATTGTGACTTTTGAACGCTGTTTTGTCAACAACGTGATATTTATATATTAATATAGGTCTACCAATACTATACATCATATCAGATTGTTTGGTCAAACAAATTAGCAAAAGAAAAAATAATCAACAAGCACAATATACAAGTAACATATAAAAATAAAAAAAACAAACATACTTGGTGTTTTAAAAGTTGTTATTCCTGGAGGTTCAAGCGTAACCGATTGGTAAACAGCATACACATATACAGAGTATTCCTGATTAGGATGTAGTTCCAGTAAAGTACATTCCTTCGTTCTAATATTCACCTCTCCATATACTACTTTCTCTTTCTGAAAGATAGTTTCATAAAAGTGTAAATATTTGTTTTTTACTGGATACATACAGTGTTTAGGAGAGAGTGGAATATTCGATTATTAAACCATTTTATACTGTAACATAATAGACATTAGGAAGCAATAACTATTTGTTTTGTCAAAGGCTTGGAATGCTTTCACACAAACATGATTTTTTATTTAAAAGATAAAAAATATACAGGAACATAGTTCTTTCATTGGAATGCAAATTAAACAAAATGCACTTACCAAGACACATTTAACCTTGTAAGTGATTGCGTGTTCTTCCTTAAAGATTTCTGATTTTTTATAAACAAAGTTGTTAATAGTCCACCGAATGTTGCATTGTACATATCTCCGTCCTTGTTTACATGATACTGTCGGGATCACTTTTACTTTAACGATAAATACATAAAACATATCAAAATTGTAAATAATCCTAACAATGTATATGTATTTATTGATATAAATTTGAAGATGTATTTCTCAAAAGGTCTAAACCTATCACTTTTAAACATTTTTGTTGCATTATTTCCCATTTTCTAATTTGTCTTAATTACATATCATGCTCTGCGAAAAGCTTGTCAGTTTAAGATTTTATCTTATATCACTATTCATCGCTGTTGGTATAAATCCCACCAAGGACTTTGGATCATATCACAAGGAAGATTTTCCCAAACTATGGAGCGACTTGGGTTCTACCATTGACCTTGCATGTGCTTTATATAATTCAGGAAGGGTTTTAAAGACCTGAGGTCTTACTTTACCTGTTAAGCTTGACAACAGCAATTTGACCATAGCAGTCGGGTGACATGAAACTCAACAAAAGTAATACATAGAACCTAAGCAATTTAATGACAGATATCTAGTTTGCGCTTCAAATACAAACTTATTTTCAAACTCTTAAACCAAGAAAATCTGCACATTGTTCTAACGCTTTTCAGATAATTTAGTTTGTAGTCGTTTACACTTAAGCATACTTACTAGCTTGTGTTTCTACTGCCGTTTCTAATAAAAGAATATTAGTTGTTCCATAGTATACTTGAATTGTAACTGTTCTACCTGGGATGAGACCCTCTATTGAGCACGATGTATTTAAAGTTTGCTTTTTGTAAAACTGAAAATAAAAATTTCTATATTTTCTTCGTGACTTTATATGGTACAGTTATTCAGGCAATAACAAAATTATTATTATAATTCCTTTTGGTTGCGGAAGCGACATGTTCCCGGAAAATACAATAATGTTGAGTGGTTTAAATTATGTCAACCAGCGACATTCTTCTTCAAAATAAGCTTATGACCTTGCAAAACAATGCATTTTGCTGTTATTTTTGTCTTTATTGAATCAATTGAGGGAGACAACAATAACAAACCAAAATGAGTAATTGTTATTAATCAAATGCTTTCAAATTGATGACGATGGTAAACAATCAGTTTGTAATGTGTAAAGCTGTTTGCTATAAAAACTCCTGATACAAGGTTCTCATTCGCTATATGCTTACAAGGAGCTCCGGATCTAAGAAAGATATTTTGAATGTCCTAATTAGTTCATTATATGCGGTTTTTTCTGTATCTTACATGTTATATGATAAATATAACCAAGTAAGATTTGTTTAGTACATACAAATATATCTTGTAGGAGAAAAGAAACATAATTTCAAGTAAGTGCAAAAAAGGCGACGTGGGTTGGCCTCTCGTTCTCGGCATTCGAGTTTTGTATTGGGAGGACTGTTTTTAATAATAAAACATGAAAAGATACAATATAGGTCACTGCAGAACGTGCTCAAACCCAGGCATAGTTTAAATTGTTGCAGTATACATTGTTATAAATGAATTGTACTGACTCAAATAAAAACTAGAAGATAATTATTGTCAAAATCTAAATATCAATTCCCAAAATTGAAAAAACAAGAGGGTCAAGATGGCCCTAGATCGCTCACCTGACACATTGAACTCATCCGAGCAATTACCTAGACAAGCATTCAAGCTACGTTTCATGACAGGTGAGTAAAAAAATTTATAACTACAATGTTAACAAGGATTTTATTCTATATTTGAGCAGTGTGACCTAGTTTTTTACTTCAGGTAACCATATTCAAATTTGACTTAGAAATCATCAAAACAAACTTCAGACCAATTTCAGGGATGTTGGGATCAAAGTTATTTTTTTTTAAATTTCAGTGGTTAAAAAGTATGGATCGTACTTTTTAACATTTGACCTTAAAAGGTGACCTTGACATTTTGGATAGCAACCTAATTCTTGCCCTTTGCACGTCGTCTTATTTGTGCCAAAATATTTTAATTTTTTTTCCAGTAGTTAAAAAGTTATGAAGCGGACAAAAAATATAGACTTTTATAATAAAATGAAGACTTTTTTACGTTTGACCTTAAAGTGTGACCTTGAACATGGTGGTCGCAACCAAATTCTTGCACTCTGCACATCGTCTCATTATGGTGATCATTTGTGCCAAGTTATTTCAAAATATTTCAGTGGTTTAAAAGTTATGGGGCGGACACGGAAGTGTTACCGTACCGGAAGGACAGACGGACTGACAGACGGATGCCATTCGTATAAACCCATTTCTGCTACTCGGAAGGGGATTAAAAATGTGACTTCTAGAGTGTTCACAAGGTTTTTCCATCTTTGGGCTGTGACACCTATTTTTTGACCTCAGGTGACCCGTATTCGAACTTGATCTAGAAAATATCAAAACAAACTTTCCAGGTTGTTTGGATCAAAACAGTAGCCACTAGAGTGTAAAAAAGGTTTATCTATTTTTAGCCCCTGTGACCTAGTTTTTCATCCGAGATTACCCATGTACGAACTTATTTGAGAAATTACCTAGAAAAGCATTCTGAACAAGTTTGATGACAATTGAGTCAAAAATGTGTACACTACAGTGTTATCCAGTTTATCTATTTTTAACTCCTGTGACCTTGTTTTTCATCCGAGATGACCCATGTTCGAACTCATTTGAGAAATTACCTAGAAAAGCCTTCTGAACAAGTTTAATGACAACTGAGTCAAAAATGTGACCACGACGGTGGTAACAAGGTTTTTCTTTCCGAGATGACCCATTTTCAAATTATCCGAGCAAATTACCTTGACAAGCATCCTGACAAAGTCTGATAAAGATTGAGTAAAAAATATGACCACAAGAGTGTTAACAAGGTTTTTCTATTTTTAGCACATGTGACCTAGTTTTTCATCCGAGATGACTCATGTTCAAACTCATCCAATATTACATAGACAAGCATCCTTACAAAGTTTAATGATGATTGAGGCAAAAAAATGTGACCGCTAGAGTATTAACGGACAAGTGTGGACGGACGACAAACGATGGACATTCAACGATCCTAAAAGCTCATCCTGAGCTAGCTCATGTGAGCTAAAAAAACAATATTATATCGCTAACTTTTTTTTGGCTATTTTTTAAAATTAAGAAATTGTCGGAGAAGATGTAAAATAAATAATTAAGAATAGCGGAAAATCGTATGACCATGCGGATGGTTAAAAACATGTACCTGCCAAAATATCCATAATGTGTGAAATAATGATTTGTTTGTCCCATAATCTGATAGACATAACATTGAGTTTATGGACTTTTGTCCGGATTCAAGAGCTTTCTTCACATTTAATCGTTTTCTAAATATCAAAAGAAGAAGACAACATTTTTATGTGAACGCCTATATTACTGGTGGTCAGGTGTCCCTGACAAATTTCTGAAATATTTTCACGCTAGTATGCGGATTATTATTTCTTTATAATTCAATAAAAAAGATATGAACATGTATTTTCAGTGAATGCTTTGAATTTATTGTTTGCCAGTAAATCGAACACAATACTAATAGAACTGCGACAAAGTATGAAATTTATTGTATTTCCCAGAAGAAACTGAATCTCTATACAGTGCATAAATAATAAAAGTCAAGAAGGTCTGATCATATTGATCAAGTAATACCTTATATTTCTATTAAAATATGTCGAGCATCTATAAATATGAATTGGTCGGACAAAAGTATATATTATCTCGTTCTTATTTGTATATTCTGTAAAGAGCTCAGATTTTGGTTATTTAATTTATATTTTAACGGAATTTCATACACAAATACACAGGCAGGGTGACACTGGCATAATATGATGATGATGATAATAATAATAATTATTATAAACTTCAAAAGTGAATCAATTTAATTACCCCGCTAGTGGTACGCAAAATTAAATGCATTTTTATATTCTCTCACCGAGTGCCTCAAATTTTACCGATAGTCACGTGACATGTGCGACAGATACCAGAGGACAGTAAATCACGTTAAGATTTGAAGAAATTTCTGCTATTGTAAGATATTAATCAGCAGCTTTTTAATTTGTCAGATGTCATTAAAACTTAAAACTGACATACAACAGCGGTTTAACTCATAACATACTTAATAATCTGTGAAGAAACAGAAAACAGTAAATCATAGAGGTGATTATATTTGCCAAGGACAAAAACAGTCCGTGGTTGCCCTGGATCGCTAATTAGAGATACACTTTTAGAAAAGGTCAAACATCTTCAAAGTAATAAATCAGTAATTAGGTTACGTTAGATTGTATTTTTAAACAAAGCTGCTTCATTAGAAAAACAACATTTGTCGATGTTTGCTATGGAAAATTACATGCAAAACATCAAATCTCTGGGCATTGCATTTTCACACAAGAAGTTTTTAAAAGGCATTGTTACCATACAAGATTGTTTAAAGGGTAGAACGTTTTAAAGGGGCATGAATTATACATCTTCTGCAATTGTCTACTAGGCAATACAGCATGCCAAAAGGCTCAGCTCTGGTATTGACGTTTTGAAAAAGAAAAACTTTATATATATATTTTTAAAATTTAGTGAACTCCGTGCGTACTAGATTTTACCCGATTGACTTATATTACTTTTGTAAAGGACCACACTGTCAAATATCGTAAGACATTAGTTTATGTTTAGTAAAAGACTATCAGGACCGGACAATGTTTGACAAGAGACAATTTATATAACTTTATAAGATGTCCATTGCCTTCTGTACGTACAAAATATCTAAGTTGAGGGCACTGAAGTTTCACAAAAGAAAACAAATATAAGACAATATAAACTAAGTGACCACAGGCGCGTGGCAAATCTTGATTCAGGGGATTTATTTATAAACCTTTTGTAGAGGACATGCAAAATAACAAAATCAAAAAGAATCGGCATGGTAGTTTCCGAGAAGTTTTAAAAAGGAGCATAGGTCTAAAATGAGCTAATTGTTCATATCGAAAGCTTGACGCAAAACTATTCTAACTCAAATCTTTTCAGAAAATGATTTAAGGCAGTTTCTTGTATAAAATTTCAATGCATATTCTATAAAAGGTAGTACTAAGTATCCATTTTTTGAGTTTTCCTAACTTGTACATACTTGTTATCGTTAAGTAATGGCTTTTGATAATATGGCCAACCATTTTTATTGCACCCGTCATTCTCTCTGTTACATGAAAATTATCAGAATTAACTTTGTATTTAATGTCTTACTCTTTTGATATATCAGTATTTACTTCGTAGTATATATATATATATATATATATATATGGCTTTGAATAACTATAATAACTATTGCATTAGTGAAACAATATTATTTTCCTATTTAACTAAATTTGAAACATAATTTTTGTTTTAACTTTATTGTGGAAAGGCAATATTCTCAACTACGTTTTGCTTAAATGCGTAAAATGATTTCTGAAGAAAAAACTGACATTACATTTTTTCCTAATTGCAATAAATTACGTATTCAGTGATATATTGATGTTTCTGTGATATATATAAGTAATCTGATTATTCTTCTACTAATGTGCTGCACATGTATATGCTGAGAAAGGTATTAAATAAACTACAATCTTTAAAAGAATTAAATACATTAAAAAAATATGTTTCAAATTTAAGAAAACCAAAATTTTAAATATGATATCAATAATTGATTAATATTAATTGAACTCCAAAGAACTAAAAACATAAAAGTTGAATTTCTAACGTCAGCTGGGGGCACATTAAACAGGAAGATATGCAAAAGATAATTAAGAAATATATTCCGAAAAAAATTGAAAATGGTTTTCTT